CGTAAGCCGTAATCCGCCGAAAGCCCCTCAAGCAGCATCCTTATCCTAGACCTTGTATCGGGACGAAGCCTTTGGATGGTCTTTCGCCTTCACTGTTTTGCGCATAGACAAGTTTACAATTACAGGTGTGAGGGCTTATTGAGGGTTGGGGGCTGACAGGGTCGATTCTGTGTGCTTTGTTGATGCGTCTTCAGAAATTGCACGGCCTATGCCCGGAGTGGTTTCTTCAAGTTTTTACGCCGGGTACAGTGCCTAACAAGTCATTGTTCTGCATGTTGAAGGCCCTAAGAATGCAGATGCCAGGTGTACAGCAACCAAGCGATGGTCATTGCACCAGGCTTGGAGACTCGAAAGGCCGCGCTGTGGGATTACGGTTTATGGGGTCTGGCCTTTTCAGTTTGCACGCACTTAAGCAACCGAAATCGTATGGCCGCTTCGATGGTGAGAACAGTTTTGCATAGTGCCTCTCCTCGCATGTACAGCAGGCAACCCACGTAATGCTCCCAGCGGAGTTGATGTTGTTCTTGAGGTTTTGTGTTGCCACAAAGCATACAGATGTGTTGTTACGTTTTGTGTTGGGCTGCTAGCTGGGTGTATGGTCTCGCATTTCGCAGCACGAAGGAACTCCGGCCATTAAGGCCTAAGGATATACCACATGTGCACATGGAGCCATTTTCTCATCCCCTATGGTACCCTCAAAGGATCCCCTCAAAGGGGGTGCGGCAAGCGCAAGTTGACAGGTGATGACCAGTCAAGAGTGCGAGGTCGGTGGTGAGTTCAAGACGCTTGGCCTGGCAGGCTCCAGGTCGACTTTAACCCACGATTACCTGCTCTTTCTGATCATAAACCCCAGGAATGTATAGGGACTCTAGAAACATGTAGGTCCGTGTAGGTCAAGTAGAGTTTACGGCTTATGGCATAGGGTTTACTCGAAGCCTGATTGCGAAACCCTGGCCTTATCATCCCGAGTGCTAGGATCCATCTAAATAGCATCCTAGTAAAGACTAGTTGATCACAGCTACGCCCTTCAGCCCGAAATCCTAAGCCCCAAGCCCAGAAATGCAACTCTCCAAACTGCCGGTATGGTATACTCTTTGGGGTTCCTATATCGCAACCTCAGGGCCAGAAGATGTGCAATATTGCTGCATGGAGCCCTGGGATCTAGTATCGGGGTCTGAACAGACAGCAATAGTATCCCCATATGATTTGATCTAAAGCAGGGTCCCTGTTTAGGTCCCCAAGATAGTACCGCACCCTTATGAGAAGGACCCGGAAATGTGCCCAAATTGGAGAACTACCCATATAGTTCCAGCATCACCCCCCCAGGCTCCAATATAACCATATAGGAAATGCTTTGGCCATACCTAGATAATTACATAACCTTAAGAAAGGGCTCGGGTATGAACCTACAGGAAAAGGGGCACTCTAGGGCCTATGTATATACTGTATAGGCATGTAGCTCCTTCGGGAAGCGGCTGGAGGAAAGCAGCTCCAAGAAAAGGACCACACCCTGTAAAGCCTACACTTTCTTAGACCCCCCAACTATCCTCTAATCCCTAAACACCCACTATTAAGGACCATAAGAGCTCCTTTGAACTGCCATTCGGGGGTCCTGGTCTATCCCGAAACCCTAAACAGCCTTCGCCACCTCGAGCCGATTCATCTGAGGAGCGCGTTGAACCTTCGGATCTTCGCTGCCTTCTGGAGGCAGTACCCAGAGTCCAAACGGTTGATGATATAAATCCTGCATTACCTTAAGGACCCTCGACTATGGGAATTATGGTATATATTCCTTAGTATGGGTAATGCAGGATTTATTTCATCAACCGAAAGCACTGAGTATGTAGGGTTTTCTGGAATTTTTGTTATAAGGGCTCGATAAGAGGTTTGTAGGATCATGAAGTTGGACCCTTTGGGGTACAGGGAGTGCTGTTTGGAGTTTAGAGTTGGGTTGAATGCTAGAGACCCTACCTATTTAGGGCTGCTTATGCGGATTTCCCTATGCATTACCCAAACAAGTACATGTTCTGGGGTTCAGGTAAGGTATTTGGGATTCTAAACGTATCGGGATTACGGCTGATTGGTGAGGGAATCTTATGGTTCAAGGAGTCGCGGCTGTGGGTTTCTATGATCCGTTCTTACATGGTTTTGGTGGTTGTGTACACTATAGAAGTCGACTTAGTCATGGTATCCCTTTATGGGCCTACTGTGAAATTTGTTGAATACGTGGAGGGCGGCCGGACCGCAAAGGCCACGGAGGTGGTACAGCAGTTCTGTTCAATATTTTCCGCATGTCTAAAAACGCTCACCATTGTAAATAGACTTGGCGGCCCGTGCCCGACGGCCGCGGAGGTAATCCAGAATGTCTGTTTGGGTATTAAAGGAACCGCTTGTTTAACATCGTCAGCGTGCAGTCCGTGTTTTAGCAGATTGTGCTACCATCCAAGACCCTGTTCGGATTTTTCAGGCCCCGATATAATGAATTTGCAGGATCTTGGTGTCGAGCATGTAGCAACTGCTGTGTGGCGCTGCGCTTAGGGGTCACCCTGTATGTCCGAGCATCTGGTGTACTGTGACGTAGGGGTGCGATATGTAGAAGTGGAATACAGTAAACCCCATAAAGTTGGAAGCCGGATTAAGGCCAAATAGTGCTGGGATTCCCTATACTACTCTTAAGGATTGAGGCTCTTGGGTTTCCAACTTTTGGGCTTCTACTGTAAGCCCTTATCGGCCTTCTGCATGTGTTTGACACCCCGATTTTGCTGCATTTGTACGCAGAAGAGGTACCAAGTAGAAAATCGTTGCAAGCCAAACTGGTGCTTAATCGTTACAGGCTTTGTGCGTTTAGGGGTTCTATGGAAGGGTTTGGCGGGAAGTTTCGGATTTTGGCTTGCGGGTATAGGCTTTCCCGGCCGGTGTTGTGGGCTTAGGCTTGGGTGTTAATGTGGGAGTTTCCGAAGGGGGGGTACCTTATTTGGGGCCCTTGTAATAAGGATCCTACAATTTAGGGTGCTATACTAGGGTCCCCTATTTTCGGAAACTCCCATGTCGCGAACCAGGCAGGTGATTTCCGATGGCCACTACCTCTTGTACAACTGGATCGTGAAGGCCTTGTCCAGAGGGTCCTAGGTACTGTTCTGGGGGATACTTCCCCAAATCACACTAGTAATTCCTAATATGGAAATTCCACATGTTACTGTATAGGTACTTTGGACCCTTTGGGTTGTTTTTGTTTGGTGATAGTGATAGGCTTGTTCTCAGTGGAACTCGCTCCTACATACTACAGGACGCGCCATGCCTCCAACTGTGCGAGCTAAAATTCCTGGACCACAAAACCTGAAACCCAACCCCAACAAGGATTTAAACCCCCGACCTGATGCGAACTTGGTGCTCTTCTTGAGGGCTTATACATGAACCAGGTATCGATTTGGGGACCTTTTGTGTTTTCCCTTTAGGGTTCCTGTCGTGGTACCTACTCGTAAGTAGCGCAATGGCCCCACAACTGCAACCCAGATGAAGGTCGAGGCCCGGAGCAATAAGCCCTCAACTTGTAATCCGAATGCCTCAGTGGGAAGCCCTCCACCCATTGAAACTATAGGAGCTTGATGAATCGTTCATAATGGACAGAAAGAGTACACTAGGATGCCCAGTAGTACACTTATTCCCTTTTTGTAGTCCTAGGTTCCTTATAAAGTTACCCAATGCCAAAAAGGGAGCCCTTTTCATTCCTAGGTTACTGGGCATCCTGGTAATTCCCGAGAATAGGGGACCCTAATATAGTACCCTAAATAGTAGGATCCCTATTATAAGGACCCAAAAATGAGGTATCCCAAGTTTTCGGAAACTCCCACATGAGCATTTATGCGGTCTTAAGTTCTTGCTGATGTTTGGGCACTGTAATGTATAGCATCGCTACACACGTGCCATACGACAACTGCAACTACTTATTTTCTCCGACCCCTATAGTAACAGTAGCTTCGGTGCAGGTGGGAGATTGACAGAAATGTTAGCAATGGCATGCCCCAAATCCATATGCCTTCAGCCTGCAATGTCCCTAAATCCTTTAAACCCTAAATCCGAATCCATATGAGCTACAAGTCCTGAACAAACAGGCAGACCCGGACACTGTGTTCTTCGTGGATCGTCTTCGCAATGTGCTTGAGCTACACGAAGAAGGCAGATCTATGATGTTTTGCCGTTGTGGAGTTTCTCGAGTTTGGGTCTTTAGCAGTACAAGAAGAGGCAGGAACGGGCAGCAGCTGTAGTTAAGGTATGGCGATGAACTCCTGATTGTGATCTGCGTCTTCAGCACAATCGTGGCGATGATGAGTTGACACATCACCATCACCATCACAATCACGATCATCATCATCATCATCGCCGGCACTTGCAGCTCTTGCGTAGCCGTTCTCCTCAACTAAGAGACACCTGACATTATAAAAGTGAGGACACACCCAGCGTCCATGTGTGTGCGTGTGAGTGTGTGTGTGTGTGCGTGTGTGTGTGTGTGTGTGTGTGCATGTGTCTCATCAGTTGTTCACTTATTCAGCTGGCTTGTTACAAGTTTATTGCGTATGTACACTTGCATGCAGAGATGCCGCAATCTGTAGGTAGGTTGCTCCAATCTTTACATGCCTTTGGGGCCTGCCTTAGATTCCCCAAGGCAGAGTTTATAGCGTCCCCACATAACTGATGTTTCGTTATCTAGAATCTAGATCAGACCCTTCAGGTAAAACGGCCCGGAGCACAGGCACTGCCCTAAGGGTCCATGTTACGATATTGGCTCTAGAGTATCTATACCGGGGACTGCTTTGATGGTGAAGTCCCAGGTATATACACCATATGAGCACATAGTTCCTTACGGAAGTTGCAATGCGACTATGCTCTCCATGGTGGTTGCTTCATTCCGCTAGCCACTTCTTGTGGTCGGGAAACCGTGAGAAAGAGACCGGGTAGCCAATAGGGGAACTGCATGAAAGACGATAGGTGGGGTTGATGCCATGCTACCCCGGTCATTCCGCGCAGCTGCGCACTCCTGCATCAGCACACGTGACGAGACATCCGCGCTTTTGGAGCGCTTTGGACACCACGCCGTTCAAAGACGGAGGAGTTCTGTTCTTTCGAACGATTGGCGAACGCCAAGAAGCATGTATCGTCTACCTACAACCAGCACCACCAACACCACCAGCACGTATCCCGAGCTTTTGCAGAGTACCGGCCATGGGAGCTGGAACTTGGCAGAGTACACCAAGGCCATCAGCAGCTCCTCCAAGGCCAAGAAGTGTCTTAGTTCTTCCACAAAGCTTTTTTGAGCTCTTATGAGTGAGTACGTAGGAACTCAAGAGTCCATAGTAAAATGAAAGGGGCCCCAAGACCCTTCTAGTTGTTCTTCTAGTTATTAAAGAAAAAAGGCCCCTATGACCTACAGAGACTTACCGCCTGCGGGGTCTTGCACAAGTAAGGTGGCGACTGGCATTGTGCCTGTTCCTTGGCATGGCCACTGCCAGGCTTCAGCCCAACGTCATCAGCTACAATGTTACGATCAGCGCTTTGGAGAAGGGTCACTAGGTTCCGCAGTTGTACGCTTCTGTCCTCTGTTGTTCATAGGGGCCGCTGTGTGAAACTCAAGAAATCAGAAACCACTAAGCTTGTAGTCGCCATTTCAACAATCCCGAGGTCAGCAGTGGCAGTTGGCACTTAGTGTGTTGGACTGCATGCCCAAAGCCAAAGTCGCTGCAGATCTCATCAGCTACAATGCTACTAGGCATCGATTTGGGATAATCTTGATAGAGGCCTTGTTGTAAACAGTTTTGGGGACTGTTGAAATCGACACCGAGGCTACCATCAGCTCTTGTGAGAAGGGTAGCAGATGGCAGCTGGCGCTTGCTTTCTTCTACGACCTGCCGAAGAACAGACTATTGGCCGATGTTGTTAGCTACAACGCGACCATCAGCTCCTGTGAAACTAGGTAGGCCTTTGGGAGCCTTGTATTTTCCCCTTCAAGGGCTTAAGAGGAGGTTAGAAATATCCTTTAGGATATTTTGTATCTTCCTTTACAGGGGTTCAGGGGATCTTACTTACAAATACCTGAAAGGGGCAACCTAGGAAAAGTCGGGCCATTGGCAGCTGGCTCTTCTCCTGTTTCGCAGAGCCGAAGGACAGGTTGAACCGGATGCCACGACGTACAATGCCACGATCCTGGGGTTCGGAGTACCATACTTTAATATTTTTTCTTAAAGAGAACCATCATGAAATAAAAGTTTATACTTTTCTGTCCCTGGTTACTCAAAAGCCCAGGATCAGCTCCCTTGAAAAAGGCAATCAATGGCAATTTGCACTTCATTTCTTCGAAAGAATGCCGACAGCAGGAGTCACTGCTGATGTTGTGAGCTACAATGCCACCATCAGCGCGTGTGAGAAGGCCGGGCAGTGGCAGCTAGCCTGGCTTCTCTTCAACAGCTTGCCCAGGTCCGAAATCGATCCCAGCGTGATAAGCTGCAATGCTGCGATCAGCGCGTGTGAGAAGGGATTGCAGTGGCAGCTGGCCATGCATCTGTTTAACCACATGCCGTCTGCCAGGGTACTGCCTGATGTTATCAGCTACAGTGCAACTATCAGTTCATACGAGAAAGGCAGTCAGTGGCTGCTGGCACTACGACTCTTCCGGAAGATGCGCAAGGCCCAAATGTCAGCCGATACCGTTGCCTATGGTGCAGCAATTACCTCATGCGAGAAGGGTGCGCAGTGGCCGCTAGCACTGCAACTCCTCAGAAGAATGCGCGAGGATGAAATTGAAGTAGATACACTTGTCTACAGTGCTATTCTCAGATGCTGTGGACAAGGAGGTCAGTGGGAATTGGCACTGCATCTTTTCGAAGGAATGCCCCAGGCGGAAGTCGCAGCTGATGCCGCCTCGTACAATGCCATCGTGAAAAGCTTTGGAATCAGCCGCTTGGATGCCCAGTAGTACCCTTATTCCCTTTTTTGTAGCCCTAGGCTCCTTATGAAGGTACCCAACACCCATCCTAGTACTTTCCGAGAACAGGGGGCCCTAATATAGTACCCTAAATAGTAGGATCCCTATCATAAGGACCTCAAAATAAGGTAGCCCCTAATTTTCGGATAGATCCCTTTAAGGAACGCTTATAGATCCCTTTAAAGGACCCTCTCCTAGGCCATCAATGGCAGCTGGCACTTCATCTCTTCAGCATCATGGACGCTGAAAGCTGGGAGTCGACCGAGACTGCAAATGACCACGACGGATCATGCTTTCGGGTGTAGGTTCGTTTCGATACGGGCCATTCAAAAAGTTCTAGACTTGTTTCGGATGTTAAGTTTTAGGGGTTAGGTTGTAAAATCCAGCTTAGGTTTTCCCTTAGGCTCTAAGGACTCACATTTTAAGGCTTTTGGGGCCAAACACCATACTATATAGGGCTTTTGGGCTATTTTGAGCCTTAGGGTTTGCGTACCCTCAACCCTAAACTCTGAACCCTAAACCGAGTTTAGGTTTTCGGGTGTAGGCTCTCGGGTTTCTATGGGCTCTGGCGCGCTTCCTCGCGCATGTTACGGTGACCTGGAGGACCCTGGCTACAGTAACATACCCAAAGGGTCCTAGGTATTGTTATGGGGGATACTTCCCCAAATCATAATAGTGATTCCTAATATAGAAACCCTACATTTTACTTTAAAGTTCTTTGGACCCTTTGGGATACTAACAGTAGGGGCTTAGCATGAATTACAAACACTATTCTGGGGGGTTATCTCTTACAAAATAAAGTAATGGGCGCCCAAACCCTATTCTAGTTATTAAGGCCTTTTTTTCGAAACGATCCTCCAGGTCACCGTGCAAGATCGGCCACAGCTCAACTCCATAACCCCAAGGATCCAAGTAGGCCGTCTTCATCGTTTTTGGTACCGGGAAAAGGCCCCAAAGTCCTTAAATGATATGGACTTGGACCCTTAGCGAAGGAGTTTTGGATGGAAACGCTTGCATGCCGCGTTTCTGCGTGCTTTTGTGTTGCGAAGCAGGCCCATGGCGCCTCAGTTGCCGCAGGTGGACAAAATCAAAGCGTCCTTCTTTTGTTTGCACCGACGTAAGGGCCGCGAGCCTTGAAACCCGGTGATGAGCCCTAACTATCCCCTTGGAGCCTTCAAAGTAAGGACGTATATAGGTTTTAGGCCCTATATACTTGTACTATGTACTGTAAAGTGTGGTCTAACTTAACATGGCCCTAAACCCTGCCCTTCCGCGTCAAGGCCCCTGTCTTACCCTATAACTCAGGCTCGAAATCGGTCAAATCAGGTACCATTTCATAGACTTCCGAACCCAAAGAAGATCCCTGCTTGCACACTTGGAGCCTTAAGGAAGCCCTAAACTCTGAATGCACCGGAAGCCCCAAACCCTTTAGGGAAACCCTAAACACCACCCGAAACCCTAAACGCTGCCCTCAAACCGGAGCGGGCCCCTTTCTTCTACCCGGAGAGCCCTTGCAATGCCCCTATAAATCAAGGAATTATCCGTAAACCATAATGCTGAGTCCTCTGTGACTTAAGGTAATTATTATACTCCTCAAACAAGGAGAATTGGGCCTTGTGAGCATGCCTGAATGCCAACATCCCCTACTTATGACGTTAAGGTTTCGGGATTACGGGTCTTGGGGTTTAGGGTTTTGGGGTTTGAGGTTCCCGGTTTAAGGCTCCACCGCTTAGGGTTCAGCGTTTTGGAGTGAAGGTTTTTGTATGCTTAGATGTTGAGGGCTTCATTGCAGGCATTCCTTAGAAGCGGCCCTACCCTGTAATAGTGGTATAGTAGGAATATAATAGGGCCCTAATATAATCCTATATATAATCCTTATTATAGTCACTATTACAGGGTGGGGGCAGCTTCTAAGGCATTCCTTTGACAAGAGCAGGGCTCTTCATGAATCGAGCACGGAGTCTCTGATGGCCGAAACGCCGCGTAAGACCCAGATCAAGGCCTGAAAAGCTCCCTGGTTTAGGGTTTAGGATTTGTAGTGGGTTACTGTTCCTTAAATCTCATAAGAAATCAACCAATAATATTCAGAACCCAGTACATAACTTGTGCCGTGAGTTACCGGGCTGTTCGGGCTCTATTAAGCCTTGCTGAATGAACACAAGCCTGAAAACTCCAGGCCCAAAGCCAAGACCCTAGACTGTAGAAGTCCTACATTGCCATACTAACACACCTGCCTTGTGTAGTACCATACTCTAACACTTTAAACCCAGACAATCGCAAAACGGGATCTTGCAACGGTTTCGGAACAAGCCTTTAAGAACCCGCTTGCGCAACCCTGGAAGCCCTTGAAACCTCCTTTGACGCCCTTGTCGAGCGCCCAAAACCTTAAACCCTAAGCCCGAAGCCTTAAACTACAAATGCTTTAAAATCTAATCCCCAAAACCCGACCCTGAACACAAACCCCCGGACCCCAAACCCTACTGTAAATCCTAAACCCCAAACCTTAAGTCCTAAGCCGTAAAGCCCAAAATCCCTCCCCTTTTGCCCCTGTGTGAAGGCTCCCAAGATTTAGCCAGCACAGGCCGGCTGAAGGTATTAACATTAGGTTTTAGGTGCCAGGGTTTAGGGTTTAAGATTTGAAGGTTTAAGGATTAGGGGTTTAGGGCTTTAGTGGTTTGGGGGTAGGGGTTTTAGGGGGTTTAGGTTTTAGGGTTGAGGTTTTAGGTTCAGGTTTTGAGGTTGCGCATTTTGGGGCTTCGGAGTTTAATCGACCCAAGACTTTTGCATGGGGGGGGGGGGGGGGGGTAGTCCTTGAAGTTTAACTAGGATGCCCAGTAGTACCCTTATTCCCTTTTTTGTAGTCCTAGGTTCCTTATAAAGTTACCCAATACCAAAAAGAGAGGCCTTTTTGTTCTTAGGTTACTGGGTATCCTAGTTAATGGTCGTTGGTTGAATTGGAAGCAAAACCATCGGCGTCGAAGCCCCTGAACGTGTCAAACTCTTGACTTCAAAAGCTCCCAACTCTCGAAGCCCTACACTCCAAGAAGTCAAATTGTTGTGGTGCTGATACAAAACTCAACTCTAGCAATTAAACCAGGTGAGTCTAAACTGTCTTGCTTCGTTTGAATGTAGCCTAACCAGTTCAGCTAACTTCGGCGGGTTTAGTTTCATAGTCGGATGGCTCGACATTACATTGGCAAGTTTCGATAACTTGATGATTCATTCTGTGAGCACTATCAGTTACAACATGGTCATGCCAGATCATACAGCACGAATGCTGGAAAGAACAGAACCGATTAACATGTAAGCTGAGATTGGAAGGAGCAGGCATCCACAGACAATATCAACACATACACACATGGGAGTTTCTGAAAATTAGGGGTACCGTATTTTGGGGTCCTCATAAATAGGTTCCTACTATTTAGGGTACTATACCCTATTTTCGGAAACTCCCACATGGCATCGGTGAATATGTGGCTTGTGCTAGGGCCAGGGACGTCAGCAGCTAGAGAGCTATGCACCCCCAAAGCTGTACACTCCCTCAAGCCATTGAAAAGGAACCAAACTCTAAATCCAAAAAGCCATAAAAGCCCTACCCTAAACCCGCCCTAAACGCCCCAAACCCCCAAAGCCCTAAACCCTAAAAGCCCTAAACCCTTAATTAAATCCTAAACCCTAAACCCCCGCACCAGCTAGAGGTCCATGATCCCCTGGCCAAATTTCTCAAAGGGCAAAGGAGGGACCCTTAATGGGGACCCCTACCCTATAATGGGGCTATATAATGGGTCTTTAATAGCTATATTAGGGATAATATATACCTAGGGGTTCTTATGAAGGGTCCCTCCTTTTACCCTTGGAATCTCGATTCTGAACGGTCGCCACTGTGGATCATGGACCCTCTTCAAAAGGAGCTATCCGGGTTTCCATACCCAAAGGGTCCAACGTAACCACATCGTAGAATGTGGGGCTTCTAGATTGTAGTCAGACTTATTAATATCTGATTTTGGGGAAGAACCCCCCCAAATTTTAGCGAAATAAGGCTCTTCTAATTATAAAGGCCTCTAAACCCCCAAACCCCTATAATCAACCCTGACAGAGAGTCCAAACCCTAAACCCCGTAAGGAAACCTTGAGGGAAGGAAGAGCTTGGGGCAGGACTGGCAATGGTAGTTTCAGTGTTCGGTTGAGAATTCGGCATAGAATGAAGTTTGGGGTTCATCCTAAACCCTAACCCTAAACCCTAAACCCTAAACCTTAAACCC